AATGGCCCCCGACCCGTCCGGGAACCCGGTCCATCCGCCTCAGTCAGGGGCAGGGATTCTCCGCTAAATCGGGGACGGGGACGGGGACGGATATAGTACTCCTCACCCCGCCCCGTACTGTTATATATATATATATATATATATATATATTAATAAATTATATGTATATGTATGTATTTTATTTACTTCAACTAAAGCGGTAGTTCATAATTTTCTATTTCCTTAGTAGGTTTATAATCTAAAATTGTTATTTTTTGGATGTTAATATGTAATATTTTGGATGTCAAGTCTAAATGCAATTACTCGATAAGTTTTGTATATTACCCAATATCTTTTGGTACATGTGAATTTCAATTTTTTTGGATTTAATTGAATTTTTTTTTTTTGGTTTTAGGTTATTAGATCTTATATGATGCGGTTTTTTTGTATTAAATTAAATTCATTTTGGTTTTAGGTTTATTGAAAATATTTGAGATTTAAAGATGTATGATCTATCACATATTTAATTTAAAATAACTTATATAAACGGGCGAAAAAATCCTTGTTTTCTCGTTGAGGATGGGAATGTGATTATATTCCCCGACGGGGATGAAGATAAAGATGGGGATAAAAATAAGTAATCGAAGATGGAGACGGAAATTGATGTCCTTGCCTCATCTCTGCCACATTCTCATGCCTCCTTTTGTTGTTGTTTATTTGAACTCTGTTAAGTTAAAGAGTTTTTTAGTTTTTTTATTTTCCTTTTATTTTTTATTAAAAAATATATAATATTAATGCACACATATATCTATACTAGTTTTGATGTTTTTTTTAAGTATATAATATTTATAAACGGCAAATGCAACAAATAAACTCACACACCCTCCTCACCTATGGTGAGGTTTGAACCCTTGACCTCCTAAGAAGCCAAGGGCTACGATACCGCTAGGCCGAAGGCCCTTTGGTTACTAGTTTTGATGTTTGATGAGTTGGTGTAACAATTTAATGCTGTACAACCTCCATCAAACCTTACAAGCCAAGAAAATATTAAAAATCGAATTATTTTTAATTTTTAAATTATATTTTGTATCATTATAATTAGTTATTTAATTTATTTTTGTCACTTATTTTTTTATTTTTCATTTAACACATTTATCATATGAACATAAATAATCGTATGAACTAAAGTACATTAAAAAAATACATTTTTTACAAATTATATCATTGTAATCGTCTCATCGATACCTTTGAAATGAGCTAAATATTGAATATTTTTTTATTTAATCATATTATTAAATAGCATAAATGAAGTACTCCGGATACAAAGTATAGAAAAGTCTCTAACTTCCCCCAAAATACGTTAAAAATATTTTTTTTACAAATTATATTATTATGATTGTCTTGTCAATACCTTCAAAATAAACTCAATATTGAATATTTTTTTATTTAATGATACTATAAAATATCATAATTGTGGTTCTTTCTTTAAATTTGAAATAATATGTAACTTTAGCTTTCATTGCTTTGTAAATGTAATTGTATTTTAATTATAAATTTTGGAATTTATAATGAACATAAACTTCATACTGTTGATTTACAAAAAAGTTTGACATCGCCCAGCGCATTGCATGGGTACCCGATGGTATAATTTGTAAAAAAATGTATTTTTTTAATGTATTTTAGTTTATATACGAGTACACCATTATAGTCGTCTCATCAAAGATTAATTTTTGTGTTCTAAAATAAATTCTCGTTTTTAAAAATAGATAAATATAGGAATCCATTACTTTTGCTATTATTAAAAAGTAAAATCATTATTTAGTTAATTAAAAAGTGTAATAATTACATCTTTTTCATTGTGATAGAATTATTTTCAGGGGTAAAGAGAATAATGAAGATTACTTTAATTCTTATTTAGCTTTATAATTAAATAAGATCTCAATTAATGTAACAAACATTTATTTTTTCTTATTTTAAACTAAGAACCCGTTTACCAAACACTTATTGGACAAGCGTTGACGAACAAGAGTCACCACTCTTATTTACCTTATTCATGACATTCCCGGCCATTACCTTATTCGGTAAGCATCTTTTATCTGGTAAGTGCTTACCGGGTAAAAGTCTTTTTCCTTACTTCATCCGAAACGTAAGTGTTAAGGGGTTGTTTGTTTATCTCTTAATAATTACATTAAGAGGCAACCTCTGAATCGTTAAGAGATGAATCTTGTTTGGCAAAAAAAAAAAAAATGTCTCTTAATGGTTTTAAAATCCTCTAAATGATTTTGTAACATGGATCCCCCTTAACTATTAAGAGCCATAATTTCATTGTACACAATTATCAAACAATTATATTTTATTTTACACTATATCATGAGAGCCTTTTAATTATTCTGATCACTTAATCATTTTGCATCAAACCATTCAGCAATTTCCAAACAGCCCCTTAGTAAACGACCCCTAATTTCACACGAAAAATCGGTTTTTCACAACATTTGGTTTTGATTTTGATTTGGTATTCTATTACATAACCAAAAATCACAAAATAACTTGACATCCATGACAGTAATAGTTCTATTACATATCGATATTGTTTTTTTTGGAAAAAAGAAACAAGATCTTTCAATTACCTTTCAAAATGGGTACGAAATATAAAGAAAAAATTGAACATTTGTTATATTAATTGAAAAAAATCATCTTAAGTTCTAAACAAACTTAGAGGTCATTTACAAAACACTTACCGATTCAATTACTTTACTGGATAAACATAACAAGGACTGAGAATCTTATGCGGTAAGAGGGAAGACAATGATCGAGAGCCTTATACAGTAAATTAGAGTCATGACTATGAACCAATAATCACTTCTCATGTTATAAAAGTGGTGACTCTTATGATAAGCATTTACCGATAAACGTCATATTTTGGCTTATGTTTAACATATTTGACAAGATAAATAATGGTCAAGAAATACTTCAAAACGGTCAAAGAAAACTCGGTGATCATTTTATCATGTTCGTTTTTGATAATTGGATTAAGACACGATTGAAACAACTTAAGACATATATAACGACAACGACTTACCCACATCCTTTTCTCTCGCCTTCACAATTCTTTTTTTATGTTTTACGTTACATTTGTTGCTTTCAGTCTTATGTTCATTAATAAACCAAAAATAATCTTTATGTCGTATTTTGAGTTATGTTGTTTTTTACTGGTTTTAATTACTTACAGTTATTTGTACACAAAACTAATTAATATTTAAGATAAATAAAAATAAACAGTAGATTAATATTCCAATACAACTTCAACCAAAAAAAGAGAATATGTTCAAGTTTATTACTTAATTTAATTGTAATTAGATGGTAATGATTGTATATTAAGGGGTCATTTACCAAACGTTTACCAGGTATGTTAACACCTGCTTATCTTATCAGAGTCACACCAGATAAACGCTTAGTAAACAGACCCTAAGGTCCGTCACTTGAAAAATCAACATTAGAAAGTTGTTTAATCAAACGCTTATCGACAAGAGTTGCAACTCTCACTTATCTTATTCGGTAAAACTTTGGCCATTAAACTAGACCTAGTAAGCACTAACCGGGTAAGAGTCTTCTCATTCACTTACCGAATAAGGAGCAATCAGCAAAATGATTAGTAGGTAAGTGCTTACCCGGATCACTTTACCGTATCAGGTCCCACTTATCTTCTTCTGTATCAGATAAACATGACAAATATTGAGAATCTTACCTGTAAGAGCAATAACAAGGACCAGAGAGTCTTACCAGGTAAGTGAGGGTGACAATTCTTATACGATAAGTGCTTACCAGATAAAAATGTTGCACAAGATGTTTTAATAGACTAAAATCGTACCTGGTAAGTTAAGTGAAATTGTTGACTATTACCGGTAATTATTTATTGGGTAAGTGTTGGATAATCGACCCCTAAGTTTCTTGGTCATTGTTATACCTCTTATCGAGTAAGATCCCGAATCATTGTCATGCTCATCTGGAAAGATAAATGGCACTTGATATGTGCTTACACATTAAGAGTTTGGTAAACCCCCAAGTAAAAAATTAATCTTGGATGATTATAAATGTAATGTAGGCTTAAGAAAATAATTGAGAAGGAATTATATGCAAGGATGGTGTTTGATCAAACATTAAATCAACACCACATTTCAAAAAATGTAATCATATGTTGAGAACATGGGCTGTTTTTGGACTTACTTTTTTCATTAACTATATATATATATGACAAAAGGTGTGTTAACAGCTCAAAACATTTAACTAGTTACTACAGTTCGAGTTAGGTAATTTTCGAGTTCGAGTCGATCTCCAACACAAATACATTGTGTTTATCTTAACAAGTCGAACTTCATAACTCCAATCAGCTCGTTCAAAAGTTGGATTAAAATTTGAGTCGATTTGAACCATTTCAGCTTAAAACTTTTCGAACCAAACATATCCATATACTCATAAATGATACAATCAAAATGTAAAAGCTATTAAGATCGAGCCAAAAAAAATGAGTTAATGGAGCTCAAAATTGTTAAACAAACATCGAGCTCGAGCTCGAACATTAAATAATATATGAGCTCGAGATCAAGCACTAGTTTGATAAATTTGCTCTGAGCCCGAGCTTGATATTATTTTCTCGAGGCGAACCCAAACAACCGGTTACTTGACTTAACTCGTTAACACCTCTAGTATATGATCTTTAACCCGTTAAAGTTATTCGGTTTGTATTTATTATTATAAAGTACAATGAATCCATTGTCATAAAAGTTAGTCCAGGGAAATAATCCACCAAAAATGATTGAAAAGGCTAAAGATGAAAACTATGCCTTCACAAGGTTGTGTTTTAACTAATGCTTCAAACATACTCCACTATCCGCAATTCACCATCAGTTAGTTATCATACCAACCGCTCTATCAAATCTTACCCCCACCCTACCCCACCCCA